CCTTTCGCGCTCTTTACGCAACTTTTTCGTTCAAATCTATTTCCCTGTCAATGTTCCCATCTTCATTAAAAACGTAAGATGACAAAACAAGATCTTGAAGAATTCTACAATAATGTGCCTTGGTTATGGTAGGTAAGGAAATGAGAAAATTTTCTCAATCAAAAAATCATTGGCTGTGAGACAGTGAGAAAGATTTTTCATTTGGTGAATTTCGTAGTGTATCAGTTATCAAGTTTTGCTGTTTCTTGTAGTAATTTGAGCAACTGAGTATGAAATGGGTAAATACTCACTGGGCATCATCAAGTGTGCTTTCATCCCTTCTTTGAAAGATCCTGTTCTCTCACCTAAGACACATGCATTCCATCCACCTTTTAAACATAATCTTATGTTTTTGATCTCTAGATCCGCAGCCTAGCATGCTAATCACTTGGCCACACCCTGGACCGAAATGAAAGGTCGTTAATGTACTTGTCCAGTTTGTTTAGCTCGAAATGGCCTTTATTGCAACAAGATTTTCGTCCCATGGATTTCCTTCAATTTTTCTAACTTCACTCCTTCATAAATGACCTAGAATGGGCTGGTGGTTAAGGCACTCAACTCGCAATCTGAGTGTCACGAATTCGAATCCCGTCTTCAAACGTGCTCGCCCTTTCAGCCGTGTGGGCGTTATACAGTGACGTTCAATCTCACTATCCGTTGATAAAGAGTAACCCAAGAGTTGGCGGTGGGTGTTGTTGACTAGTTGTCTTCCCTATTGTCTATCATTTCTAAACTAGGAACGGCTAGCGCAGATATCCCTCGAGTAGTTTTGCACGAAATTCAACAAACAAACTTCATAAAAACTTAGTTTTCTTTTCTTTTTCGTTTTTTAAGAGTAAGGCATTTTCTGTGAATTTTTAGCAGTAAATGTTAAGCTATATTGTAACTAAAACGAATATGTAGTTATGTTTGAAATGTTATCTGCAGGCAAAATAGGTATTTTTTTTGTCTAAACCTACACTACTAATATTTGAAGATATCCAAACCCATCTATTGAATATTGAACCTTTATTGTATAGGCTTTTTTTTTCGCTCCGTTTGATTATGTCATGAATGTTCGGGCTCCATGCTATAGAAAGACTCAGCATGGAGCCCAAGAAGTCGCTTGAAAGAAAAAGTAAACAAAGATAAAATAAACCGCAGGAAAAAATATATAAGAAACTATGGTAACATGTAAAATATGTTGCCTAAAATAACTTAATAGCGTCTTTTGTCTATTTTTTTTTAAATATTGTTAAAAGTAACTTCAGAAGCAAGAAGAGTAAATTTCTAAAACTTGCTATGTAATGCGTTTTCTTAAGCATTTTCTTAGCTGTGAGTTGCTTAAGTCTTTTTAGCTGCTTAAGCTTTTTGATCTACTTAAGCCTTTTTTTAGTTGCTTAAACCCTTTTAGTTATTCAAGCATTTCTTTAGTTGTTCAAGCTTTTATATTTGTTTAAGTCTTCTATTAGCTGCTTAAGCGTTTTCAATTAGCTAGGCCTATTTTATCTATTTCAGTTTTTCTAGTTGCTTAAGCTCTTTTTAGCTGCTTATGCCTATTTTAGCTTCCTAAGGCTTTTTTTAAAGTTGCTTAAGCCATTTTTAGATATACGACTTTTTTTTAACTGCATAAAGTTTTTAATTGTAATAAAAAACTGTGTGGGTGGACTCCGAAGGTAGAAACAGCCAGTTACAGAACACATCTAACAACCTTGCTAATTACTTTAAAATTTTATTTATGGGGAAGAAAAAACAACTTTATCCACTAATTTACACTTTTTTAAAATGAAAATATGTTATTATATTTTAACGTTACCATTAAAAAAGCTTCTCTATGATGAAAGATGACGTTGAAACTGGATTTTTAAATTAACATTTCGAAATATTTGAATTTCTTGATGGCGAAAAACATGTATATATATTTTTTTCAAAGGCCTGTTTTGATTAGTAATGTCTTTGAAATATATATGTATAAATCAGTTATTGGGTGTAGCAAGCTCTAAGTAATACAAGCAACTTTGTAAGTCACAGCTTGACGTGATGAAATTGTAAGCATAATTTTTCGCACACTTGAGAAATAAGGTATTATAAAATTTTCTCGCAATCCTTGGAAAGTTGTAACACATCTGCGGCAGTTACAGATTCATAACTATACAAATGTTGTCTAAGCACAGCCGTTCATAGCTTTGAACTGATATACTTGAAGGGAGACAATACCCAAAAGCAACTCTTTTGGTTACTCCTGTCTGATCAAATACTGATTTTTATATCTTACTCACAGCCCCAAAGCACAGAACATATTT